TCCCTTTCTGTAGAGTCTCTTGGGTCTTGCTGGTGGTTAATTTTCTTGGCATGCGAGTGAGTTACCAAGAGTAACAAGTTTCTGTGTGCCAGCCTCTGTGGGCGCTTTCAGCTTGCGGCTAATACGGTGTAACTTGCATTAAACTTTAAAGAGAGGACCTGTTTATATACCCAGGACTTTACCTTAATCTTTATTTGCCCTCTTGTTAGGAGGACTTCTTGAAAGCATGTATGTTTTACCATAACAAAACCCTTCGTTGCATTTCAATATAACAAAGGCTATTTGGGAGTTGTATTTTCTGTTTTGGGAAAGCAGTTTTAATTCTTAGGCCTTTGTATCAACTTTTGTAATTTTAAATTAAAGGTTGCCATCTATTCCATATTCACATCTTCTGAGAAACAGTTTCCCATTCCAGAAATAAATTATTCTCCCGTGTTTTCCAGTTTAATGACTTGGCTGTGCATGTTAATTCTGAGATAGGATTTATCACCCTTAAATTTAGCACTGTCTTCCTTAAAGAGGCAGGGTTCCTAATTTAAATTATTTTAATATCACTAATGTTTAATAATCATGAGCTATTGCACCTTCATCAAGCCAGTGAAACCATTATTTGGGCTAAGGTCTTGAATGCAGGAGAGAATGCTAAACTCTTAGAGCCTCTGGTTATATTCAAGACAGGCCCATGCTGGCATATGATCAGTCATTAAAACCGCTTGATGGTTTTTAAATGAAGGCAGCAAATACAGTAGCAGTGTATGCCAAAACTATAAATGAATGCACTGGGGAACATAATAGTTGGCTTACTGGTGGAAGAAAGCTTGTTTCAAATACAGGAGTAGTAGCATAATTGTTTTTTTTTTTTTAAAACATACACTTCAGCTGTATAAGAAGTGAAACTTCTTTGCCTTTTATAATAAATATAGTACCACTCTGAACAAAACTTGCATACAGTTAACCATACGCAAATTGCTCAACTTCTCAGCACTTTCAAAAGAAGCATTGATCCAACTGTGTCAGGTCATTGGACAATATTTTTTTTTTCTGCATTTTTTCTTTTGTTGCATGTGGCTGAACTTTAGTTAGATTCTGAACTGGAGGTGTGCTCTTGAACCTTTGGATTGTTCAAGTTGTACATTTGTTCAGGATGACTTCAGGGTGTTTTATGTTCCTGTGGTTGGTATGTCTGGTGAGTTGTTTGTTTGTTTAAGGATTCAATTGGTGCTTTAATTCTCCTTTTTGAGAAAGTGTGGTAGAAATGAGGTGAATTGTGGCAGACCTGGTTACTAGAATCTTGCTATTCAACTTTTTGAGGATCAAGAGAATAATTTCTGTTACTTTTTGCATCTGACTGCATGTTGTCTTCCGTAATTAGTAGGAAATAGGGCTATTAATATGAAGGCACTTCAGTTGGGTACTGTCTTACTGTCTGAAGTGTCTTGGTTGACTCAAATCTTCATTAAAATCAAGAGATTTAACGTGGTAGTAACTGGAGACTCTTAACTATGTAAGATTATAAGAAAGCTTGGAAGATGGTAGAAACAGCTAGGTAAGACACTTGCAATTTATCATCACTGCAAAGAGTCATGTCGCAGAATTTGACAGATGTTGTTAGATCAGCATAGGCTTTTCAGATTTTCTGAACTGATTTGTTAAGGTCAACTGCTGGCCACGTGGAGTGACAGATGAGACTATCGGAACAAACACTATCTGTTATTGGATGCAAGACAGCTTTCCAGGAGTACTTTTAGTAAATGACTTTTAAAATTATCTGTAGCCTAGATTTTGTAACTAATTTCATAAACTACAATGCTCTGTGTGAATAAAAGTCATTGTTGATTGTTATCATCATCTAGTTTTACTTCTAATATGTGATTTCTTTTTTTTTTTTATTTTCGTCTTTTTCTTCCCTGGCATGTATCACAGAATTAATCTTAAATCCAGAATACTCTAATGAGCAAAACTTGTGATTTCTTAGCTGTTTCAAAAGAGAATGGAGATTTACTTGGATGGTGGTATGATTTTTAACAGATTGGTTGTTTTTGGCAGTTCTAATTTGACTTTGCACAACTGGTTGGATAAAGGTGTATATTAACTTGGATAAAATGTGTGATAGGGACAGTTGAGCAAGTAGGGTGTCACTGTATTTTTGAAGTATTGTTCATGTGGATCTCTTGGTGCAAGTCCTGCCTGATGACCATCTGCAGAATCATTTACCTATAAGTGGAAGTACAGCAGAAGCTCAGCTCGTTATCTTCATTGCTCCTTTGCAGTCCTTTTGGTTTCTGAAATGAAGAGGTTAAGTGTTAATATGAGCACACAGGTCCTAGACAGGATTGACCAATGTGCCTTCTGTACCTTTAATTCTGTGCCAAGTCGTTGTTTTGGTTATCTCCTATATGGAGTATGAATTTCCTTGTAGTATGGTGATTGTGAATACCATTCTACTTTGTTGTCTTCCAGACCTCCTCTAGTGAACAAACCTACTACTGGGAGGTAGTTAACAAACCTCATATAGTGAGCTGGTTACTATAGGGAGCTGGTTAACATTTAAGATATGTAATGTTCTATCTGACTCACTTATCTGACCTCGGAAGTCAGAGCTCTGTTTACTGAAAACACACAGAGGAACTTAGCCCCTTCCAGAATTCCAGCAACAGCTGTAGACTTTGGGGTACCAGGTAATTTGAAAATACATGTTGTTGTACTCTGAAGGGAGGCGGTGGTGGGAAAACCTACGACCCTAGTCTAGTAAGAAATGGTACTTATTCCTTAGGGTGGCAAAGTGTTTCTATGTGGAAAACCTGAAAACACTGATGACAAGATTCCTTGGATACATAAGGTGCTGCAGAAGTGCTCATCTGAGTAGCCCCACCAGTTTCAGTTGGGCTGTTGGGCTGTGGGAACTTCTCTTACAGTTGTACGGAGTTACTGCAGAATGTTATAGACTACCAGTATAGCCAAGTATACTGTGAGATTTTATACAGGGGCTACATTTTTCTTTAAAAAGGAGCTTAAAGCGATTTTGGGAAAAAAAAAAAACCACCCAAACAAAACAAAAAAACCCAAAATGTATTATTCAAAAAAGTAGCTAACTTAACTGAAAAATCCTACCTACGCATTATCTTGTACCTCTGTAGTTGGATGATATGGTTCCAAAGAAAATGGTGAACTAACTTAACAGCGCACTGCAGCTGAAAGGAGTTTCTGCTCCCGTCACTAACCTTGTGCGAGAGCTGATGCGCATCAGGCCCCTCCAGAAGCCATTTAACCTCACTAATATGGCCATGTTATTGAGTTAAAGCAGCTCACAGAGGAGTCTGACAAGTTCCAGAGCCAGTGTTGAGGGATGGATGTGACTGGGAGCAGAGGAGGGAGAGGAATAAATGGCAAGGGGGTAGTGGGGAGAGAGACCTCTCCCCTTTTCGCTGTCAGCCAACTATTTTGCTGCCTGTCAAGCTGCAGATGTAGACTTATGAGAACCCGGAAACATATTCTGTCTGTCCCCTGTTGTAACATCAATTGCATCAAAACTCCATTTCTTAAGAATGCTTTACCATGCATATAACATAAACACTGACACCGAGATGCTATGAGAGATCACAACAATAATGCACACAAGAACTCCCCAGGACAAAAATAAATCTTAAATTTAGGTTAAACAGCACTCCCTGTGCCTGATTAATGTAGGCTAGGCCAGAGTTTACCAGACTAACCCCTTTCTAGACTAACAGTATCTCTGAAAAGAGCAGGCTGTACAACAGTTGATAATTTACTGATGTGAAGAAAGAAATAAAAAAGCAAACAGAACCAGACACTTGATGTCTCATAGTATGTGTTCCTCTTTCCATGTCAGTGTTAGGGCTTCATTCTGCTTTAGCAGATCCTTCCACCATTGAGTACAGCTGCATATAGCACAGTAAATGTAACCAGACAACAGAGACTAAATGCTAAACTTCACTCTATGGAATATGACATAATTATGGCATAATCCTTGTCATGTGTCAATCCTTGTCTGTATTTCAGTTTGTCAGGGAATTATGTAGAAGTGTAGGATTGACCACCGGGTTCAGTTTACTGTAAGGAGGGATGCAGTACATTATTCTGTAATATTGTTGTCCTCTTAAGTGTTTGAAAGGGCTGTATGGGAACTGCTTTAAGACGCTGTCAGAGGAAAACTTCATGGTTGTTTCTCTGGCTTCTGCATCTTCCTAGGGTAGCTGTTTCAGGAAAAAGTAGAAATATTTAATTAGAGATATTTTTAAAAAATTATTGGGAACTTGTTGCAAATGTGTGAGAGGGTTTATTTTGTATTGGCAGGGAGAGTGCATTTTTTGAACTTCCAATTTGTGTAGTTGAGAGAGGACTTTTTGTGGAATTAGGTTCTGGTTCCTGCTATTGAAGCAAGGATTATGTTAGGTTCTCTGGCTTTGTACAGAAAGTCTTGGGTAAACAATTCTGTTGAGAAAGGAGAAGTATCTATCTTTTCCTTCCAGGAGAAATGCTTGTAAACATGAGATAAGTATACTGTGGGAAGAAGTCATTGTAGTCCCCTGACTAGTGATATGGTGGTGTTCGTCTCTCCAGTTATAGACCAGTGAGGTAGCTCTGTGATTGTGAACTGTCTCTATCTGTATTTTGTTTGGGCCCTCCCAGAAAAAAATAATCTTTTAACTCAGTATTTCGTGCTTAGTCTTGGATTGATGACCTTGTAAATTTGAAAGTATTTGATTTAGGGACAAATCTGTGCAATCATGCAGTTTTAATGTTTAATAACCTCTTCTGTTCAGGAGGAACTTCCAAGTCAACTTGTTTGTAACTTTTTATCCTTTGATGTTGTGGCTACTGTCTATAATGATTGGGTTTTTGTAAATAGTAGAAATAGTCTGCTGAGAATTTCAGAATTATGAAGTGCAAGGATCAAATGAACTATTTTCATCAGTTACAAACATTTTTCCATCTATCATGGAAATGACCAGAGGCAATGAGTATCCTTAGAAAGAGTCATGGTTAAAGTGGATCATAATTTACAATAATTCTTTTGATGTTGGATGGAAATTTTTGTCTTTAGGGTTTCCTACCATCATATCGTGTTAAGAATTGGCTTTTTGTGTCTGCCTAAAATCTCATTACTACCTTCCCAAGGACCTCAGATCAACTTACAACCAACCTTTCAAAGAATCTAACAGTGGACTTAAAGAATTTCCTAAATCAGACTTCTGTTGAGCAGCCTCTAGAAAATAAAGTTGAGGCAATTGCATTTTGATCACCTGGATCAGATGGTGCGTAGACCATTTTTGGAGGGGTAGTTTAATGTATGTATGTTGACATTCTTCCAAGTAGAATTAAATGTCTTTCCTCCTTTTTTTCTGCTTTAGGCTTCCTCGTGTTTCGTTTCCTTCCCACCCCCCACCCCCAGCAACATGCAGCAATTCAGGGGCAGGCTGGTAATAGAATCTGGGCTTAATTTTAATTCTTCTCTCATCCCTCATTCTGCTTCAAAATACAGGCTGTCAACAGGGTTATTTTATTGAAGCATCCACTGTCTACTTTGAACCTATATTATCTTCTATGGCCCTTGTGGTATTTAGGGTATTTGAAGAAAAGCAATTATCTTGAACTTCAGATGTATGGTGTAAATCTTTGTCGATGTTAAATTAAAACGGGTTTAAAAATCATGCCACGGGTTGTTAAACTACTACTGCTAAAACCTCTGATGTTGATGCAAATAATGGTGGCACAGTTTATTTTATTCGTAGAACTGGAATAAACCATGGCAATATGATTTTATCGTGGTGTAGAGTTCTCTAGCTTCCATTGTGCTGGGATAGTTAAAGACAAGGCTTTAAAAAATTAAGAAGGCTATCCGACACAACATTGATAATGTTCCCAGGACAAATGTGCTATATGTCAAGCAGGGATTGAGCACAGGAAGACAGGTAGTGCTGATACAACAGAACTGGCTTTCTTGTTATGTTATTTATTACTGTGGTTGAACATAATTTTCATCTCTTGCAGGTGTCTTTATTTTATGATTCCCCTTACAAGTATGGAAAATGGATGTACACATAGAAGAAAATACTTCCTTTGGTTTTACTTTGAATGATATGAGTAACAAAACAGATTAATGGGCAGGTTTTTCATTTGAGAAAACACGTCTCATTAAGATAGATCACATTGTTAATGAAATGTACTGGTGATGCATGGCAGGAGAGATACGATCTCTGTTACTCTAATGTCTAACTAAAAGTGGCTAATGCAGGGGTTTCTTTGATATTCTAGGGAAGTGAATAAATGATTTGATTATTTTGTCTGAATTCCTGTTACTTGCTCTTAACCTTAGGTCTTTAGTCTGTTGTAACTGCTGCTAGGAGTATTCAGATGCTGTCTGCTGGTTTTTGAAAGTTCTAGGTAAATGTTGGTTAATGATACTTCATTTTATTGACTGTCAACTAAATACACTGTATTAGCTGTGCCTCACTGCTGGGCTTTTGTAACTTGGAGCGGAGTTGAGTTTGTAGTGAGGAAAACTAAGAGTAGGTTTGACTCCTGTTTGAGTCTGGCTATCAGCTTCGGGCTAGTGTCAAAAAAAGCTGTCCTCCCTGTGTCAGTTCCTTAAATTAGGCTTTTTGGATTTTATCCTCAGCATGTCGCTGTTATTGCTTTGTTGCTATGGTACAATACTTACTCATGCAATCTGCTGTAGAATATTAGAGGATCTGAGCTGAAGTGTTATGTAACTTACAAATGTTTTTACAGCTGATGTTCATTATTTTGCAGAGCGTAACAATTCATGTCTTTGTAGTTATCTGAGCGAAATAAGCATCTTGCAGGACTCTTATTCAAAAGAAAAATGGTTAAAATTGCAGAATTAACATTCAAAAGTATGAATTGTTCTTTATGAGGGAGTAGTAATTGCTAGCTTTTTCAAAAGCTCCCTGAAGTTGTTATGCTCAGTTAATAGGATCGTAAGTGTCAGATGGGGAAAGGGAATACAATACAATATTCTGGTGTTTGAACTTTCAGGGCGGAGCGACCAGTTGGGATTACAGTGGAGGCGTTTCAGTCCATTTTAGCAATTATTTTTTGCTTATGGAAACGAAAGAATTCTATCAGATAATTGAATATTAAAACCCCTGTTGACTGTTGTTCCAGCCACTAAATGGAAGGTGTTTTGGTAAGAAACTTGAGGAACTGGTGTATCAAAGAGTGTTTGAGTTGTTAAATTTAGCAAACTTCATTTTAAGTTTGTTTTTTTTTTAATTAGAATAATCCTAAAACAAAGAGGAGCATGAGATCTTCTTGTGATTTGTTCAAACTTTAAAGTGAGACTTAAGATTTTCAATAATCAGTGTTAAAGACAGTTGCCTTTTTCTTGTCTTGATAATTTCCTTGTGATGAAACAGCAGTGCTAATATCAATACTTCAGGGAATGAATGAAGCTAAGGGATTAGTAGTCTGGCTATAAGACAGGTCTTGAAAATTCTTCAGGGAGAGAGCATTCCTTATTTGCAGATAAAATTGGAAATAAAAATTTTTCACCAGAACAAGTGAAATCCCAATTGACTGATAGACAAGGTGATGCTATGTTGCCAGAGTGGCTTAGAACCCCAACAAACAACTAAAAACAAGAACGAAAGGCACGTTAAACCAGTTTTTCAGTTAAAACCGTGGCTGCTTTTGTTGCGATCATGCAACTTTTGAACAGTTACAATATTTTAAGGATGCATTAAATTTTTGAAGTGTACTGTACTTAATAATCCATCTTCTTTTAGAGCTAATGTGAAATACTAATGGAGAAATATTGCTTATAGAGAAACTGCACTCTAAAATGAAAATGCCGAGTCATAGCCAAACACGTTGTCTTAATAGGCCAAAAAAGCTGGAAAACAGTACATGACTAAGATTGTAATAAATTATTTAGACCTAAGCATGAAAATTCAGGATTAATCCTTTTGAAATACTGGGGTTGGTTCTTAAGAGAAACATTCATCACATGATGTCAAAAGCATGTGAAGTATTTTGCATTGGGGTAAAAAGACAAGGTTCCTTCAAAGCAGATTTTACAGCTTTTAAGCAGGTTACATAATAAAGGATTAGGGAACAGAATGAGACAAATCGGATGAATGAAAGGTTAGTATGATGCACTGACTTTCAGTGTGGGAGAGTTGGTACTTATTAATGTCTATGTATTTCAAATAAAGTTAATTCAGGAACTCGTTTCCTGTAAATATATTTACTGCTGTATGTTTATGCATTGTTTCTTGTATGAAACACAAGTTGTGAATGGAGGGCCTTTCATTCTAACATACTTAAAGAGATATTTTCAGTTTTGACAATATTGCTTATTAATTTCCTGACTATAGAGCATACTATTCCCCATAATAAAAAACTTGATAGCTCTGCAAATTTTATTCAACAAAATAGATTTAGGAATCCTGAGTTTGCTTCTACAGACTCTAAGTGTTGGTTGGATGTGTGTGGTTTTTTTTTTTCTTTTATAGATGCCACCTTCAATGAACAACAAGATCTCTTTTGTCAGAAGTTGCAACAGTGTTGTGTACTCTTTGACTTCATGGACTCTGTTTCAGACCTGAAAAGCAAAGAAATTAAGAGAGCAACGCTGAATGAACTGGTTGAATATGTTTCAACAAATCGTGGAGTGATCGTTGAATCAGCTTATGCTGACATAGTGAAAATGGTAAGTAGAATGCTCTTGTTATGTTTTGAATTTTAATAAAATATCTTAAATTAACCAGTTTATGACTCTGATGGCATCTAACTCAGAATTCCTGTTGGTTATTCTGCTTATACACTATAATATAATTTGTTAATGATAGCTTGGCTTACAAGATTGTTTAGAAATGCTTGTAAAAACAAACTACTTGTAAGTTTTAATTATTAGCTAAAATATGATGCATTCAGGTTAATTAAAATGAAAGAACTGGTATATTGCAGATGCTTGCAGTCTGGGTAAGCTTTGAAGTTGTTCTCATTCAGAAAATGGCAATATTTCGGTGCTGCCTGTCTTTGTTTATTTAAGAATGGCAGTGGAGTGACAGGCTAAAGTTTTCTGGTGAAGATTCTTGCGGGTGCTAGTGTCAACAGAAAGGTTTATCAGTGTAAGAAAGCCATGCTGCTTTGTAAATACTTTGTATGGCTGTTTGTTACTGTTTTGGCCTTGGAGAGTTGTGCTAGAGTAGTCTAAGTGGTTTGCTTGAGTTGTAAACCACAGGATGACTTGTACTGTGCAATTTCTACAAATGGCTTGTTGAATAAGCAACAAAATATTTGTGGTTGTTATCTGCTGACTTTCCCAGGTTTTTATATGCATTTTCAAATGCTACGTAAGTGATGTTTTTGGTATGCCTGTACATGGAAGGACATTTGAGAATAACCTGAAGTATTTTAAAATCGTTTTTTCTAGAAATTTGAAATGTAAAAAGAATGTGTTTAGTGCCTGTGCATTTAGGCTAATGGTTCTCTCAACTTCGGCTAAGTTTACACAGGCACAGTGCTGACTGTAAAAGCAGCTATCAGGAATGTAAGCAGACCAGTTCAAACATATGGCCTATGACTTTTGTAGTTTTCTATACAGTGCAAGCTATTTTTTCTTAAGGTTTTGTTTTGGTTTTGCTTAGTGGGTTTCTTTTGTGTGTTTTTCTGTGAGCAGCTGATATGGAAGATCAGATCTTTAATATAAATAAGCGTAGAAATTTTGCCATTATGCTGAAGGGCTAGGCTTGTTGAAACCCTTTTAATCATTTTGGCTGTTTCACCAGATGCTTATTAAGTTTTACAAAAGATCTAGGACACTGGGGTGTTTTTGTATAGTTTTGTTTTTTAAAGGACCTGTGTTTCTGTCCTAAATGTTTTCTTACAGAAGAAGATAAAGGACAGAGTATGTCTACCTCTTCTTTAGTGCTTTTTTTTTGTGCTGCTGGTGGCGGCAAGCCTGAATCTTTGCAGTATTTTCTTACTCTGTGTGCCCTCTATAGCCTCTTGTTAGAAGAAAGAGTATACTAACTAGCCTATCATACTTGTTGAAGGGAGATTTTCTTTTGTATTTGAAGTTGTTTTATTTTCTTGGAGATAAGGTGTTGCTGAGCTGTTCTTTTGAGGTTATTGTTGTTGTGCAAATGGTTGGGCTCTGTGGATGCTTGTTTTTCCTTCCATAACAATCTCCTTTTCTCCCCTAAAATGACAGAAAATGAAGAAGGCCTTAAATGCTCAGTGAGAGCTTTTTCAGAGCTTGAGACAAAAGATCCCTCCAAGCCTGAATAGTATTTCTAGTCTCCCTGGCAACTGGCAGCAAAAAAGGTCTTTGCTGTGAATTAGGACGAAGTACTAGCTTTCAGAAAGAACTCTGGATGGGTCTCTCCCTCCAAACAACACGTGTGTCAGGCTTGAGGCCTTTCTTTGTAGCAAAACTTCTATGACATTTAAAAGATATTTTTTTTTTTTTAAATTTTTAGACTGTTCAGTGTTACTACCTTAGAAGAAAAAGCATTTGATTTTTTTGCAGAGTTTGAAAGGATAGTGGTTTTGGGACGAAAAAGTAGACATCAGCCTTAATGAAACCTATCTATCATCTGACTGGTAGTAAAGGATGAACAGACTACAAAAATTCCTGAAAAAACGCCAGAGTGGCATCAGTGGCAGAAGTGGAGCCAATT